TCTTGATACCAATTTGTTGGATTAATAGAAGAAAAAAGAGGCAACGAGAAAATGAAGAAGGAAGACGGTGGAGAATTCCTTAATTCTGGAAAAGGATCTTTTATTCAATATATCTCAGATACATTTATAATGATAAAATTGAAAGCATCCACGTAGCAATAGCAGTTTTCAGAAACCACGTAACAGTAGCAGTTTCCAGAAACGAGACTTGCTCCTAAAGTGTAGCAACTAATAAATTAAAATAAATGGAAATAAATTAAGGCAGTTATAAAAAACAAGTTTTAACAATTTGGAACACAACGACCAAGTAAAGAAACACCATGACCGTACAAATCCATTCAAGATCTTTTATGTGAGTAGCTGTTGGCGTAGTCTGGTGGAGGCTGGCATCACCGGTGATGCCTTTGGTTAGCTGCACAAAGAACGAAGACGAATCGGGTGTTGCGATGACGTCGATAAAGCCTGCGATGTTGGTGATGGAATCGCTGGTTGTTGCGGGGCCTTGATGGGTGGTGTTACGGTGGACATTGCGAATGGGATCGAAAGGAAGAAGTGCATATATAGTGACCAACAAAGGCTTGCGGAGGCGTCTGTGAAGAGAAATGTGTGGAACTGAAACATGAAATTACGGATGATGAGATATTATGACAGCGTCATGCTCAATACTTATGTCAGGCGTGCATGTGCTCAAGGCTAGTTTGGATGACAGAAAACATGATTACTACTTGATAGGAAGCTACAATGCTGCCAAAGATAAGTTTATCCCAGATAAAGGGTTTAAAGAATTTGTTTTAAGGTATGATTATGGAAAATACTATGCCTCAAAAACATTCTTTGATGATTGAAAGAAGAAAAGGGTTTTGCCTGGGTGGGTGAACGAAAGTGTTGTCGATGATATCAAGATAGGATGGTCTGGCATCCATGCAAGTTGATTGCAACAATTTCTTATTTTTTTATTATTGGTTTGCTCCTCATATTCTAAAATCATGTTCTAAAAATCAAGACAAAACTTGATCAAAATAGTGTTGACTTTAGACTAATTTTTTTTTGGCATGGTTTATGGTATAGATGTAACGACATTATTTAAAATAACATGAGGCACCTCATACAGGGCTTCACAGCATTTTTCTTTTTCTTTTTCCTTTAGAAATTGAAATTGACTTCAAATAAAAGGATGCAAGTTGCTTTAAATTAATGGTGTCACAGCAACACAGGTAAGTTTTACTTGTTAGAATTTCTTATCAATAGTATTAATGTAGTAAAGGTTTTAAATTATGTATATAATAAGAATCATGGTTGCAAAAGTGTTCTTTTTTTAGGAAGAACTTTAGTATTGATGAAAACTAGGATCAAAGGTCACAAGTTTAACTCTTACTTTTCCTAAGAAATTAGTACACGTTTAATTATATGAAAATTCTTAAATTCAATCAAATTTAAATTCTTAATCAACTTAACCTTACATGGTAAAATAAAAGTGCGAAGACTGGTGGATGATTGCTTCCAATGGAGAAGTCCGAGTGAATGAATGAGTTATGATTTTTGTCTCCTCTAGGTCTCTTTATATAGACTTGATTGGACTTAGACTTTGAATATTTTGTTGATAAGATCTTTTATCTTATATCATTCAAATATTCAACAGATTTAATTAGTTTTTAAGAGAATATTTGATAGATATTTCCGATTCATATTTTCAAATTAAATTAATTATCTTTAAATATGAACTTAATTGTCTCTGAAATTCCACTTTTGTCTTTCTTAATTTTAATAAACTACAGAAAAACTCCTAAGATTTCCTCTAATTGCACTTTAAATGAATAAAACTATAACTTTAGTTGCCCAAATAAACATAAGAAAATCCAACATAACTTATGCAACTAGAAATAACATTTTAAGCATTTTTAATTTTCAAACCCCATAAATCCAATTTTCACAAATTTACTTTAAATCAACTATTTAAACACAATAATCTCATTAAAATTTTGAATTTTAAAACTTAATTATGGATATAAATATGCACTCAGTTCTCATTGACATAGTGACGATGCTTGCCACATTTAAAATGACCTTACTTCAAGACAACTTGATCAAATAGTGTTGACTCTAGACTCAAATAATTAGATTTTTTTTGGCATGGTTTGTGGTATAGATGTAACGACATTATTTAAAATAACATGAGCCAACTCATACAGGGCTCCACAGCATTTTTCTTTTTCTTTTTACTTTAGAAATCGAAGTTGACTTTAGTATTGGTGAAAACTAGGATCAAAGGTCACAATGTTAACTCTTACTTTTCCTAAGACATTAGTACACTTTTAACAGGAAAAGTTAATAATTTGTCCTTTGCAGGATGATGTTGAAATTTCATTTGAAGTGAGTGAATTGGGAAAGGCTGAAAAATTAAAGTATTGGATTGACCACCAAATTCTATGTAGCACAAAGGGTTCATCCCTAGCAAGTGGATTAGGTCCTTTTTGTTTACTGTTTTTTGGTTCAGAATGATTGCAAGAGTTCACATCAGTTTTTTTTTTTGAAGTGGTATTTTAAGAAGTCTCTAATTATTGAAATTTAATTACTTCAAGTGGAGTCACAGAATAATCAGTCAAGGTATCTTGCATAATCAATTATGTTCACATACATATTCAATTATTTTTTTCCTAACTCTACGGTTGAACATGAATGTCAAAAGCACGACCAAATAAACTGAACAACACCATAACTTTTATACTGTAATTCTCAGTGTTTTAACTGTGAAGTCAACCAGAGTATTCTTCTACTTGCAGCAGTAATTCAGTAACTAGCATACTTCAGCCGTGAACTTTGACTAAGTCTTATCGTTTGTTTAAGTTAACGCGTGTATCCATGGATACCATTAGTTATTGCAATGTTCTTTACATGTTACTGCAAAAACATAATCATAACCTAGAACTCTTCGTCTCCCTCTCTCTCCAATGGAATATCCATTCCCAGTTATCGACCTTTCCTACTGTGCTCCTCACACTATCAATCTTCAAATTAAAACAGATAAAGGTGCCACTTACGACGGAAATGGTGTCCGTCGTTTTCATATCAAATCTCCCCGTGTAACCCTTCACGACCGTTGTGTCTTGTGTGATGCTGGCGGAAACTCCATCCTCACTCTATATTGGAAGGTTTGGTTACTCTCACCTATATTATTGTTAAGGATGTTTCTTCGTTTAGTCTATTTGAATAACTATTTAATCAATCCATTTCTTTGTTATTAAACTTGTTTACTCCCTTTTTCCATTGTTGTATATCCCTTCTGGTGTCCCACTATTGCAGTATAGTAATTGTCACTATAAGCTATCTCCAACTATCAGCTTGTGTGGTGTTAGGTCAGCTACAAACTGGGTTAGAGGTGGGAAAAGTTTTACATTTATTAGAATGGTTATATGTACAAGGTAAATGGTCGGAGAATAAATATAGGACATTATAAAGACAGAAAATGAGAATGAATAGGGCATTTGGAGCCAATAAAGAAAGGGAGAAACTCAAGGGCTTAGAGGACATGAAGATAAAAAGGAATCTGAGATATAGGAGAAGGATAGAACACTTTTAAATGTTTTGAATTGATCGCTCTTAAGTATCTTTTTGTCAGAACAAGCTTCATCCATATATATCGCAACAAGAAAAACAAAAACAACTTAAAAAATATAATGGGAAACACAGATAAAAGACATTCAAGCACAAAAGTGACACCTTAATAGAAGTTATTTGCATTCATCGCCTATATGTGTTGGTGAAAACTATTATTTGAAGTTAAATTATTATGAATATTAAGAAACTCGTCATATGTTATTGTTTGAATCTTTAAGAAGGAGTTTCTAAATAATATGGATCACTAGTATCATCTTTCAAAATAAGTAGGGAAGTTAAATTTGTCTTATTTTCATTTTTATACGTAGCTTCTCTTTTACTCAAATAAATTTATTACATAATTCATTACCAAAGACCCTAAGGACAAGAATGAAGTTAAGATAAAATCTTGGACATTTTGCAGTCTTTTTATTCAGCTTAAATAATTATGTACAATTTTATTTTTATCAACAAATAATATAATAAATATAGTAGACTAGTATAACATAACATTTTAATCCTTTTAAAAATATGTACATAGTGGCCATTTACTTAAAACCTGCAAAGAATCCAAAACAAATAAACACAGCAAAATGGAAACTTCATGTATAAACAAACAATATATATAGACTTACACAAGAATACCCACAAGACCATTGATATATGTTATACAGCAGTGCTGCGAAATCTTTTTGAAAAAGGCTTAGAAACGTTACTGGATGAACGTTTTTTCTTTCTCATTGGTCAATTCTCTTTCCGTAAGGTTTGGGAGTTAGTTTTGGAGTGCTTCTTTCCCAAGATGGGTCATTCCACACTCTATAAATAGTTCTTTTGTGATCATTTCAAAATATACAACACTTCTTTCATTCTTCTTTTTTCTTTTATTTTTTTCGTTCTCTCTTTTCTTTCTTATTATATTATGGGTTTATTATTTTACTCATTTTAGAGTTCTTTACTCGTTCTGAAATCTTCATAAATTTATGGGAAGTTCTTATTGTATTCTGGGGATTTGTACAATACACCGCAGATAAGTCCCTAAGGATAGTTGATTCGCACGTCTCGTGAAATTTTTTTCACGTTTTTTATTTTTTATTGGCATTTACAACAATCTTAAGGATTTATAACACTAGTGCAGAAAGAAGATACGGCACCGGTTAATTTCACTGATAGGCTTCGGTTTTCGAACCGAGGCATATTCAGACGAGGCAAAAAGTGATAGCCATTTTACCTCGATTCTGAACCGTGTCATTTTGTTTGTCTCTACGGCCTCGGTTAGAACCTAAACCGAGGTAGTAGGATATTTTTTTTAGCTTGTTTCGTTTCTGATTTCAGTTTCTGATTTCAATTTCAAACCCCGAACCGAAAAATGAACTGAAAAACGTTAAAAATGACCAAGAACTCAGATAAGAAAATGAATAATCAGAGAAAGATAAGCACCACACTGTTTCAGAAACTCAACAAACTCAGATAATACAATGTTTCAGAAACTCAACAAACTCAGATAATACAATGGAACCCCAAAAAGATGAATAACTGAAACCCTAAATTGCAAAAACAACAACAAAATCCCAAATCTGAAAATGAAATTTCAGAAACCCTAAATTGCAAACACAACAACAAAATCCCAAATCTGAAAATGAAATTTCAGAAACCCTAAATTGCAAACACAAGAACAAAATCCCAAATCTGAAAATGAAATTTCCGAATCCAAAATCTCCCATCCCCTGCATGCTCGCCACCGCTCTCCCCATCGTCGAACCGACACCGCCGCTGCCCCCGGAGGACCGTCGTACAACTGTTCCGCTTACCGACTCTCTCTCGCCACCGCCTTCCTCGCCGCGCCTGGAATCGCCGCGCCTGGAATCGCCGCGCCT